ATATCAAGAAAGAAAGTTTCTTATTTCCAAAGCAAGACTTGTGGACATGATTACTTTAGTGCACTGACTGAAATATGTTTAGAACTTAAACACCTCTCCTCTCCTAACTTTAGAACAATGAAGTGGGGAGTTAATTTTAAATTATATCGGATTCTGAGTTACTAAGGTTTTTTTTTTCTAAAATCCACAAAGTAATAAAGGCAATAATCTGCTATTGTTGGAATTATCCTGGCTTTATTCAATGATTCTTTCTTTTTAGTGACACACCAAATGCTCGCTGAAGCAGGTACTTCCACAGCAAACCACAAAGTCAGACATTAGTTAAAATGGTCTGTAATCTCACCCTCTGTTGGTTCTTACCATTTACCCCACATGCCCATTATTTGATATATTTCCTGCTGTCTTTGTGGACTTCAGTGCCTCTCCACAATAATAACACAGGAAGCTCTGCAGAGACTAAGGACTCACTTCATAAAATCAGTAATTTTCAGACTTAGGTTCTGTCAGGTGGTAAACTGTTAGAATTATTTCAACCAAAATAATTTTAATTCATGCAAATATTACACACTATTAGTCCCACCTACTTCCCCACCCTGTGGGGAAGATCTCTGGAAGTAAGCACAGAGAGGAGAAACAATATTTACACACATCTCAGCAAGCAGCTTGCAACTGTGGAACCTCAATTTCCTTCCTTTACCTGCACAGGGAAGAAAGTTCCTTCTTCCACCTGAGAGAACAAAGCTGCAGATAAGAGACATCTAGTGACTTTTTCAATTTACTGAAATGCAACTGAGTTCCTAGAACTGCTCTTTGTCTACGAATAACCTCTATGGTCAGGCCGAAAGCTGCTGTTGACCACAAGGAGGAAGGCAACAGTGACAATCACAGCCACATCTGACTGTTTTGCTTATTGGTGCTTTTCATAAGTTCCTGAGTAACTGCTATTACATATGAAGTGTCTATGGAACCACAGTCCCATTACCTGTCTCTATAGTGATCTGCTTCAATAATAACCACCAAACTACAAAAGAGTCACACACACCATGATGAGATTCTCCCTCATCTTGTTATTGTTATACTATAAACTCTAAGCTTCACAGGGTAAAGATCAGAGCTTATTCTTTGTCCCCTGACTGTGCCTGGGATGTACTGGCTATAGGTTACATATGTCATCCACACCTCAGTGTATACACACACACACACACACACACACACACACACACAGAGTGTATCATAAAAAAATAGGTTAATGTCAAGCAATCTGTGTTGACTAGATCAAAAGTCATCTTGGTGAAAGCAACTGTCACAAAATCCATAAATCACATCATCACTCAGGCTGGTACTACCACTGTCTGTCCTTCCAAAGCTCCAACCTAAAAAGTATGGTATTTCAAGACACTTCACTTCATTTTTGAAAAATACGTATTTCACAAGTCCTGTGAAAGATCAAGAGGTAGGAATATCAATGGATAGGATACCCCACACAAAGATGCCAAGACTAGAAGCTCCTTCATAATGCCTGCAGGGGTGTGGGGCAATCAAGCATCAGAAAAGACAGCACTCTTCCCAGGAATTCCGTAAAACAGTAACCTGAACACTGCATAAAGAAGATATCAGTCATCAGGGCAAGCAGTGGATCAGTTATACCTGTGAGGAATCAAAACAGTGCACACAGCACAGACCAAGGGCTCAAGGATTTGGCTTCCCAGGACAGAGTTTATTTATGTCTGGTCCTGGCATGTCCTTCCAAGAATGGCAGACCTCCAGGAATGCCACTGTTACCTGAGGTTCTGATCAGCTGGAAGAGCTGGCTACTGCTACAAGACCCATTAAGTTTCACTGATATGGGGGGACTTGTACAAAGGAGAAGACAAGCCCACAAAACAGACCCCTTCCTGCCTTCTCAGAGGAGCTGAGGGGAGTCCAAGAGCCTACCCGAAACAGCTGTAAATTAACCCAACATTACCTATACAAATACATGAGACTTAACGTAGAAAAGGTTTTCTCAGGAAAATTCAGTCTACAAAAACTCAATGAAAATATTACCAAAAGGATGATCTCCAGTATTTTGATCTTAAGTACTTGAGACTCTGAATGAACTTCTAGGAGGTTGTCAAGATAAATTTGCTATACACCAGACATGTGATTTCAGGACTTGCTCATTCCAAGTTAAACAAAAAACTAGGGAGCTAGATGCGGTGGCACATGCCTGTAACCCCACCACTTGGGAAGCTGAGACAGGAAGATCACTGAGTTTGAGGCAGCCTGGACTACACAGTGAGTTCAAAGTCAGTTTGTACTATATAGAGACCCTGTCTCAAAAACCAAAACATGCACACACACCCCCACACACACACCCAGCAAACCAAGCTAAAAAGCAAAAAAAAAAAAAAAAAAAAAAAAAAAAAAAAAAAAAAAAAAAAAAAGCCAACAAATACCGATGGTTCACTAATGTTCCTCTTCCTTGATGCTCTCATTTTCCACTATAAATCTGGTGTAAAAAGACAGCAGGCCTAGAGCTGTGGAGCTGCCAGTAGACATGGTCACATTGATAATCAGAAAGAAAAACACAGGAAAAACTCTTAAAATGAAGTACCGTGGCTCAGGTTCCTTACAGGGAATAAGATAAGCTCTTCACTGACTAAAGATTACATTAATCACTGTCCAAACAGGATGGGATCCTATCCAATATTCTTCACTTAATCACACATGGCCACAAACGTTCATCTTAAAAAGACTTCCAAAGATTAGTATCACTCATTCCAAATGTTGGTACCAATATTTCAGATTTTAGAGGGTTTTTTTAATGTTTGGATTTGACTTCATATATTGAAAATCTAAATTCTAAATCCTCCAAAACCCAATCTTTTTGAGCATTATGTTGGTACCCATGATGTTCTAGATTTTGGAGCATTTTGGAGTTCACATTTTAAGATTAGAGTTGGTCAACCTGTATAATTAAATTATTAAGACTCACTTAGCTGAAATTCAAGAATTACAGAAATCCATCATAGATGAACTATAATGAAAAGTTGTGGAGAACATTGCCTGAGCTTTCCCTGGACAGACACCAGCAAAGCCACTATGACAAGAGCCATTAAGAAAAAAAGTACTGTGTAAAAATATTCCACTAATAATCTTTTACAAAACCTCTGTCAACAAGTTACTTATTCTAGTGATTTTCAAACTGTTCCACTTGAGTGCGGCAGTCATTTTGGGGGAAGCTAGACTGCAGCCCCCAAGAGACAGTGAGTGCAACTGTAATCAGACTACACTTCAATCAGCACTGAACTCATGCTTGAACACATCTGTGGAATTCATCTAGGTAATGCATCTAAAGTAGTAAGATTTATTCCAAGGAAATGATTTGAACTGCCAGAGGAAACATACTGGTAACCTACCACAACCATCAGCTGCACACATGCAGGTACACAAGAATGACAATGGAAATGTGAATATTACATCACCATGGAGCTCCTTGAATTGTAACAAAAACCTCTTGTATGTAAATACATATGAGTAATGGAAATGGGAAAAGAGACATTTTAGATTTAAGGTAATAATATTTGTGGCTTTCTCTAAAGCACACATTTACCTGCCACCCATAGGTAGCAGTGAGCCTTCGAGGACTTCACGAAAGAAGCATTCAGTACCACCAAGATGCTTCATCTGAGAAGTGGTAAAACTCAGTTTCTGGGAGCCTTGAGACAAACCACTGATGTGCTACAAGATCTCAAACATCAAAAAGAAAAGACTATCAGCTCCTTGTCATCAAACTAATTCCTTGACTACTTGCCTAGATCAATGAAATAGCCACCTATTTCATTGGTGGCTACGATTCACTACACTGACTTGAATATGGAGTTTCTATACTACTTAACTACCTGCCCAATTTATGTGCTTGTCTGGAACTCAGAGGCCTCTTCTGAACAATCAGAATAAAACTGAAAAATCTCTCCAATTCTAGGGCTTTTGTTTACCAGTAAGTTCAGAAGCACTGAGCTCTATCTCCACAATCCATGGACTAAGCATAAGTGTTAACTAGGTCCTACACGAAGGTTATGTAACTTTTTTTATACACAAACACAGTAACCTGGGATGCCCCCAGTTGGTGACTGAAGACATCCTGGCCCTTGCTCGCCAGAACCTCAACAAAGGCAGGGTGCTGTCAGACAAAGTAAGTAGAGAAGCCATCAGAGAAGAGTGATGAGCAGCTCATACAATGATGTCCTTTTCAGAGGGAAGTTCTGATAGCAAGGAGCGCTCACCTAGATGCAGTTCCTGTTCCTTATGGTAAAAACCACATGTCAACCTGTATCAGAGCACACCACTGGCAAATTCGGATGTACACTGGACACTGGAAAACGTAGACAGTTCATAAAAGTGGACATATCCTTTTATGAAGTTAGGATATAGATCTTAACAGCTACGGAGTCCATACACTATACTACCCTGTCACCTGGACACAAACAGCCCGGGTTCAGCCTCTTCCTGGGCTATGATGCAGAACCACAGGTTTTACAACCGCGTTTCACAAAGTTTACAAGAGCTTAAAGACATGTACACGCCCCACAGCTTCTGTTTCATTAACAAGCCTGAAACTCTAAGTTGTCCTGTATACAAAGCCACCCGAAATTGTCTTAACTTACAAACGTGTAGTCCATCTATCACAGAAAAAAAGAATAGGTCGATAAGAATTTGTTTAAAACGCAAAATATCTTTGGAACAATCACAAGTGGTGACTACCCAGCTTTACAAAGCCTCGCAGCTGCCTGGGCCTCCCTTTCAAAGTTCTCACCCAGCGCAACTCTGTTCGAGTCCCCCTGAAGATGAAGGTCCCTTCAGCTTAGTGCCGAGACTCAAACGCTCTCTCTCCAAGGGGCACACACCCACCCCCCCTCGAAGGTCCAGGACCTCCCTCCCTCACTCCCCCAGAAAGTCCCTCTCCAAACCCCTCCCTCATCGGCTCGGCCCGGCCCGGCCCGGCCCGGCCCACTCACCCGGGGGCCACGACCTGGCCCGGCTGCGCACACAGTTCTCGCACCACACCGGCGCGTTCCGACCTGAGCCTACGCTCGGTCCGCGCGGAGCGCACGCAGCCCCCGGAGGCGGCACGGGTCGGGGCGGGCCCGGCGGGCAGCGCGGAAGAGGCGGCCTCGTACACAGCCAACACGGAGCCAATGCGTACAGTTGCGCCCGCCGCCACCCTCCACTCGAGCAGACGCAGCGGCGCGGTGCCCGGGCAGCGCACCTCCGCCACGGCTGCCGTCGGGGCGCCGTCGGCTAGAACGCGAGCCGCAGGAGGCGCCTCCATCGTGACCGGGTCTGGCAGACCGGCCACAAGGACAGGAGGCGCTCAGGGCGCGGCGTTCCCCCGCGGGCGGCGGCGAAGCTGCGGTTCCCGCTCAGGAACCGGCTTCACCCGCCGCTCGCTGCGCACCGACTTCCGGGAGGTGTGCCGACGTCACGGCGGGGAGGGCGACGTGCTGCGGCGCGCGTGCGTGCATGTGCTCAGGCCGCTATTGAGCACCAGCTCGGCTCGGGACCCCAGGCGCCGGAGGCGCAGGACGGAAAGCGTACAGTTGGCGTGAGCCTGTGAGGCTTCTCGCAATCCGTCGCACTCTGCGAGCCCCGTACCGAAAACTACGAATCCCAGCATGCAATACCGTCAGTATTCTCGTCGCGTCCTGCGACTACTGACGTCCAGAAACTACGAGTCCCTTTATGCACCAGCGCTCACTGTCGCAGAACTCCCTACAAGCATTGCGAATTTCCACGACGAGTCCCGGCAAGCAACGGGGCAGTTAGGCTAGCCTGTGGTTTACGCGAGTGTAGGTTTCGCGAGACTTCGGGCAACTCCGGGTACATTTTGCGACTCCCCTCCGGAGAGGGGCGCGGTCCTGCTCATCTACACCACAGGTGGTTTTTTGGTTTTTTTTTTTTTTTTTTTTTGTTTGTTTTTTTTTTGGCGGAACCGGGGATTGAACTCAGACCCTTGCGCTTACTAGGGAAGCGCTTATTCCACTGAGCCATCTCCCCGGCCCCTACACCACAGGTTTTGCGAGCGTTCGACTGCACGGGCGCTCCGAACTCCTGTCAGGAGATCCATCAGACCTGCGGATCGTGAGGAACTCGGGCAGTGGCGATTTATCTTTCAGAACAGCAACCAAACAAAACCGAGATTGAACGAGATTACAGGACAACTGGGGAAGATGTAGTTGCCTGAACACTGGTTGTGAGCCAAACTGGTCAGGCATGCCCAGGAAGCGCAGCCCAGAAAGGCTGGGATGTGGGGTGAGCCAGTGGTTTGTATAGACAACGCTGATGCCAGTGCCATATCGCTTTGCACAAAAGCAGCGCCCGTTTGTACCCACAGGCGGTGTGCCAGCTAATCACCTAGAAAAAGTGCTGCAGACAGTTTCCTAGGGGTCGGGTTGTATAAATTTTTAAAAACAAAACTACAAATCTAAAAAGCAAAAAGCAAGGCTGGTGAGATGGCTCAGTGGTCTAAAGCACCTACTCAGAACAAACTTAGCAAAGCACAGGGATCGCGGTTCAATCCCCCAACCTACATGCCATCCAGCCCCGCCCCCTGGTGGGCTGAGCTGGCCGCGTGCGCCCACACACACACACACACACACACACACATACATACATAAATAAATAAAATTAAAAAAAAATAAAAAGCAAAAAGCGATTATTTCATTGGACATGGAGACTGGCTCCGTCAGTTACCTTGTATAGTTCAGGTAAGAACAGTAAGCAAGAACCGGGTGCTTTCCAAGCTGCTTACTGCTGTGATTCCATCAGTAAATCTACAAGGTGCTGAGTTGAAGTAGTTACAGATTAACCATTCTCAATACTTTGGATTCCTCAGAAAAGGGCTGTTGTCCCACGATCCATGTCCACCAACCTTCATAGAAGTTTACAGACTCCTTTTAGTTTCACAAAAATCTTGAGACAAAATATCTGGTTGAATAAAGACTTTGTGCATTGGGAAAGAAAACACCTATTTTGCAAGAAGAAATATTACGATCCAGAAAGTTGCCATAAGCTACAACTTTGTATTTTAAAATCAGAAATAAATGGGTTTCTACACTGAGAATTTTTCAGTTTTTTTGGAAAACGAGGTATGAAGCTAGGGGCAACACCTTCATGAAACACCAGCATTTTTACAGCAAAATATAAGTGGAATGAAAAAGACCAAAAATATTCTGTGTTCAAGTCAATTTAATTTTTTTTAAAAAATGTATTTAGTACAGGGTCCACAGGGTCTCACTCACTACACAGACCGGATTCAAAGTGATCCTCCTGTTTTTCTGCTCCCAACCGCTGGAATTATAGGCGCTTGCCAACCCGTCCAGTTTGAGTTGCTCTGGCTCAGCGTGCCCTGGGGGCAAAAAATATTTTTTTAATCAAAGCAATACAGAAATTTGAATTTTGGTTCTATCTACTTTCCATATACTGTTTTTCAAATATCAGAGGATTTGATTGTCACTTCCTTGGAGGCATGCCTTCTGTAGACTCAACTATGTCCAATTGGCAGACAGGGATCAGTGCTACCGTCAAGAACTGAGTGTTAACATGTTAACAATTGGGCTATAATTCATATGCTTGACTGCTGGGTGGCTTGAACTATCAGTGGTGCAAGCATGATGCTCCTATTGGGCAGCCTTTTATTAATTTTATTAGTAAAAAGGCTGACAAAAAAGATCCCTTTGTACCACCGGTGATAAAAGCTGCCCAGTGGGACCATCATGCATGTACAACCAGGGGTTTAAGCTTGTGGGACTTAATGAGAAAGCAGTTATTGGGGTGGGAGTATTACCTTTGGGAAGGCCAGATTTCCTGGCCTGTGAACTTCATCTGTGTATTTTGTGACAGTGCTGAAGGCCCTTCATCTATGTTGTATACCAATGTATGGACTGAAGTTAGGAGGACTTTTATGCCCTTGTATGGGTGAATAATAAGCAAAAATGGTATAAACTTACCGTGGAATATTTGGCCTTAAAAAGCAGTGAAATTCTAATGTGTGGTAAACATGGTTGAAAGTTGAAGACTTGCTGACTAAAGGAATCTAGGCACAGGAGGACAAATATTGTGTAATTATCCCACAGGGTACCTAGAGTAGTTAAATTTATAGAAACAGTGGTTCTGTGACCTCAGAGAAAGGCAATAGTGGTCCTTCACTAGGCACAGAGTCGAGAAAGGGTGAACATACAACACTACTGAACTTTAGGCATAGATATATAAGTTCTGTGTTTACCACAATCAAAAGTGTACAAGGCTCTTTCTGGAATTAGATAACTTTTCTTTTTTTTTTTAATTTTTATTTATTTATTTATTTATTAGAGAGAGAGAGAGAGAGAGAGAGAGAGAGAGAGAGAGAGAGTGTGTGGTGTGTGTGTGTGGCCAGCTCAGCCCACCAGGGGGCGGGGCTGGCTGGCATGTGGTGCTGGGGGATCGAACCGCGGTCCCTGATGCTTCGCTAAGCTTGTTCCAAGTAGGTGCTTTAGACCACTGAGCCATCTCTCCAGCCCCTAGATAACTTTTCTAACTTAGGTTTTAAATTACATTTCAGTGTCCTGATGTATTGTAATATTGTTTCTCAATCAAATAGTCTAATGATGTACTCATTTTTGTTCATAATATAAACTAGAATTGCTCAAGCGCCATAGAGGTAAATAAAGGGAATATTTACCTATAAAAAGCAAAGACCAACTGTGCCTAAATGCCTTACAAAGATTACTACCTGTGACCTCTGTTTCTAAAATGTACTGACTTCTAAGAAACAAATTGGGAAATGAAATATTAACCAGTTTTCATTCTCCATGATTATCTTTCTTAAATTCCTTTGTCATTTTTTCCCCCTAACCTACCCAAAATCATAATAGCTTTAAAAATTCACAATAGTTTTATATTCTGGTTACATTGTGAATCCTGATATTTAAAATGTATTGCTTTGGCTTTCTGCAGATAATATTGATGGTGTTCCACATGTAGGGTGTTATATTCTTTTTTTTTTTTTTTTTTTTTTTCAGAACTGGGGATTGAACTCAGGCCCTTGCGCTTGCCAGGGAAGCGCTTATTCCACTGAGCCATCTCCCCGGCCCCTAGGGTGTTATATTCTGCAAGTTCTGAGTATACTGCAAACTGTGGTCTCATTCCAAATGAGAAAGGTGAGACCCTGTGAAGTTGGCCACATGCTGCTGCTATACAACAAAAGCAAGGCAGAAAGGGAATCCTGAAGGGTGATAACTGATTGCAGACCTTCTTCTCTGCTGGAACACTTTGCTTTCTTACTGTATTATAAGGCCATATTCAAAGGACCATCAAAACAAACCAAACAGGTCTTCCAAATTATGCTGTACATCAGTGTCTTAAAGTGCACTTGTTGAACCTAAAACGGAACATTACGAATGTCATTCCAACTTCCCCAGTTCCTTGGGTGCCACTTTTCCCTTGAGTTTCCCACTGCAGGCACCCTTACCTGTTTATCATTTTCCTTTTATGTAGTATATTAAGGCACCATGCTATTTTATATGGCTATAGTTTACTATTGTGATTTCTATGTAATGTAATATTTGTGAGAGTGACAGAATGTGTTTATTTTATACAGGTACATTTAGATTTTTCTCACTTTTTATGAAAATCACTGCAATGAGCACTCACATGTTTTGTGGTGCAGGACAGTTACAGTGTCAAGGTACACATTAGTGTGGAAATGTTTATCAGACAATGCTAGGTTATTTCTCAAAATGGTTTTGTCCATTTATTCTGCTTTCTCATGCACACCCTCAGGACGTTAGTGTCATCACACTATCTCTGCCAAGCTGAGTAAAAGTTTCTAAGATGAAAACTTACCTTCTTCCAATATTATTTTATTTAGCATATTGTCCTGCTTTTTATTTATTTGTGCTTTCTGTGAAATGCCTATTAATTTCTGCTTCTCATTTTCCTGTTGGATTGATTGATTGCGTTTTAAAATGCATTTGTTTAGACAGACATAGGGACTGGGGTTTGATCGCCAGTGTACCTTGCAGGCCCTGTTCCCAGGGCATGCTGAGACTGTGATTGAGACTGGGCTTAACAGAAGCTCTGAATTTTAAAAATACCTTAAAATGTAAGGTCTTAGAAATACTTTTTTAAAAATGCTTGTTAAATTTGAAAAAAAAAAAATCTCAAGTCTGCATGGATAACCAGTTGTCCCATCACTACAGGAGGTACATTGAATCACTTTTGTTTGCCATCATGCATGTGATTCATTCCATAAATATGGGCAACTGTGGGTTTTTTTCTTCCTCTGAGTTATTACCACACTGGCTTTGTTGTTGTTGTTTCCCAGTAAGTTTTGATTTATGGATGGAGCAACAGTCTACTTTAGAAGTTTCTGTAGGAGTCTAGTGCCTGTTCT